AGTGTGGGTGAAAAGATCTCCTTTGATAGTCAAGGAGAATTTGATGGTGGACTTGATATTATCAACTGGGTTACTTTTCCGAACCAGTCATTTTCTAAGGTGAAAGTAGGAAGGATAGACCCCTTTGCTCCTCCAGATAAAGCTTTCAATATCCATCTGGATTTCATCACGTGGCCAGAAAGGTTTAATCAGGTTAGAGACTTGGACTTGTGCCTTAAATTTTTGAGCTGAGCTATAATCTGCAAATCATATCAGGGCCATTGTACCCATGACTTTGCAATAAAGAATAGAGATCTTAAGTCCTTTTTTTCCTATACTCCTCTATCTTCCAGTAATGCTAGTCTGCAGCTTTTGCTCACCACATGCCCTAGCCATGATGAGGAGACCGTGATTTCTACAGCACTTGGGCTGATGGGTATTAAACTGCAGTGTAAATTTTCACTGATCAGAAACACTACATGTACTTTATATTGTAAACTACACTGAATTTTAATATTGCAGCACCTTGCTCTACAAACTCTTGACACTAAACATTATTCTTTAATTTCTGTGTGGTAGATTTGCTGTGGAGGGGCTGCATCATACTTTTGAGCAATTATAAACTACAATGAGAGACATTTGTTCAAGACAAAACCTGCAAATACTTAATTTTTGTATTAAGTATTGATCATATATTTAATGTGATGTATGATGATGAAAATATTGATCATACTTTTAAAATATACCAAGAATATTGGAGATTATAACAGTCAGTTGCCAAATAATTACTCTTTAAAAAAATAATTATTTATGTAGTAGGGGTTGTCAGCACTTGACATTATCCACTCTGAAATATTGACTCTCCAGCAGCACGTGATTCACAGTTGTCTCTGTCTATCCATCTCCATCTGTAGCTAAAGTATTATTCTGATTCTTTTTGGAATAGGCACACCCTATTTCTTTGTGCAATGATCATTGTCAGAGAGGGTATAGGAAGACCAAGAAAGAAGGGAACCCATTTTGTTGTTATGATTGCCGTCCATGTCCAGAAGGGAAGATTTCAACTGAAGTGGGTAAGAGATACCATGTAGAGAGGCTTTTAAAAAAGGAAAAAAATAATGGGAGTGGATCAACTTGTGAACAGATGTGTGCCTCAATATGTAATCTCTTCAGTTGTGTAGGTTTTCATAAGACAAAAGCAATATGACTTAATACAGTCTGTGAATTCAGCTATAAACATGGGGGAGGAAGGATGTAAGAAAAGGTCTTATCAGGTGTAGAGGGCATAGGAAGGGGTCTTGAGGGACAGGAGGAAGAGCCGCTACCAAGACATTGGTCAGATAAAAGGGGCCTGATTCAGGGGCAAGAAACTAATTTAAGTAAATGTGTCAGGCCAGCCTCTTCTTAGTTGACAAAGATAAAGAGAGGGAGGGGGAAGCACATTCAGGTTTGAGAGGGTCTGTTATTATAGATTTACAGTAAAAGTAGTACTGAGCTACATGGCATTGGTTTCCTTTTCTGATCTACCTTGAAGGGTTGCCAGTAGGTGATATCCAAGAAGACCATGGTGAAATATGAAGGCTTACATTTTTCTACCCAGAATGGAATAAGTCTTCATATAAATGCCACTTCTTATTACAGATCAGGTCATTCTAATGAATTTGAACTCACAGTCTCCAAATTCCTAGTTGAAAGGCTTTAACCAATACCTTAGAATGGATATGATGCCAAACACCATTTAGTATTGAGAGAATAAGTTTGCATATGAGCTTAATTGTAAGGCCTCTGCACCAGAGCTTTCCAATACTCTGGTTCTGTTCAACTATCCCTAGGTACCTCTGTCGCAGGGACACACAATTTGGGATGATGGGATAATTTAGCATGGGTATTTTTTTTTACTTCCGGATGATACAAAGTGGGTCATAAGCTGACCCTTCAATTCCGATGTGCTCTGGGTATTGTTTCTGGCAAAATAAAATTCATCATGTTAACTGATTTGTTTGTCTGATCTCATTGTCATGTTCATATCTCAGGCTGAGCCCCTCATGGCCCCTCACGGCCACGTTCTGGCCATGTAATAGTAGGTATGTGTTGATTAGTGTAACACAATATAAACAGAACTTTGGTGATTTCTTTTAGATACACAAGACTGTTCTCCATGTCCTGAAGATCAATACCCAAATGACAACAAAGATTCATGCCTCCACAAAGTTATAACTTTCTTATCGTACGAAGAACCACTGGGGATGAGCTCAGCTTTTTGCGCTCTTTCCTTTTCTTTGATGACAATTTTAGTGCTCAAGACCTTCATTCAACACAAGGACACTCCCATTGTCAAAGCCAACAACAGGAACCTCACCTACATTATCCTCACCTCCCTCCTGCTCTCTTTCCTTTCTGTTTTGCTATCTATTGGGAGACCCAATCAAATTGTGTGTCTTCTTCGACAGCCAGCTTTTGGCATGATCTTCTCAGTGGCGGTTTCCTGTTTGCTGGCCAAAACCATTGTAGTTGTCCTAGCATTCATGGCCACCAAGCCTGGGTCTAAAATGAGGAGATGGGTGGGGA